CCGGCCACCTCCCGCCACGTCCCAGCGGTGGGAGCCAGCCCTGCCACCCCGCCTCCCGCCCCAGGACAGCTCCCGGAAACCCCCAGGGAATATTTGCTTTGGATTAGACACCCCCTCTGCCAGCAGAGAGCTGATAGCCCCTGCCGGGGTCAGGCTGCTGAGGAGGATGTTAGTTTTGCTGTGTTTGTTTTCTGTTTTTGCTCAGCAGATAGCTCCAAGGTTTCAATAACACTGATACAGCCAGGAATGTCCCCCTGCCCCTTGCGACGGGGAAATCTGTGTGCAGACGTTTTGCAGCTGTAGCAGCCCACGCTGCCATCCCAACCCGGGATGGGCTGGAGACGACACTTACTCCAAGGGCTAACCCGCAGCTGGGTCGGGATCACAGCACTCAGTACTTCCAGCCGACGTCTCCTGTTAGTATGAAATTAGCACCATTAAATTCTGTAACTGAACACAATCAGCAAAGGGTTTAATAGCTCAGATAACGTATAAAGAACTATAACAGCTAATGCCTTCAGCCCTGCTGAAAATCTGACCGTCTGCCCCTAATCCCAGCAGCGAACTGATGGCAAATATTTACAGGGGCTTATAAATATTTATCCTGTAATAACTTGCTGCATTACAGCACATTCTTCTCCACGAGACTCAGCTTTACCCTGGCCCAGGTGCAGGCAGCTGAGAAGGTCTGTAGCATATATAAAGTACGTCTGAAAAACATACAGCGAGCACTGGAGTTCAATAAAATAGTCAGCAGCTGAGCTGCTTGCGTGAAATGCGCTGCAAGTCATTTCTTACCCAACAAAAGAAAAATGTGGCTCAGCAGCACAGGTGTGCAGAGACCTTGGTGTGGGTGAAAACTCCTTCCCGTTGCCAGAGTAACCTGGGGAAGTGTTGCAAGTCACTGGAGAGCTGTAAATCACGCTACGGGGCTAACGCGATGGGGGCCTCAGCCCGGCGCACAGCGCCCAAGAGCAACCCCCTTGCGACTTAACACACAGGCACTTGGCCGCCTTGATGAGGAGCCTAAGAAAAGTGAGTGCCCCAGCCCAAACATGCCAGGAAGGGAGCTGGAGACCTGCACGCCAGGAGGAAACGTCCGTCCTCACGCTTCTTGCTCTGCAGCAAACCTCTCCCCCAGGATCCAACCTACCGCGCTCCAGAGTCAGCAGAAGTCACTGAAAACAGCTTGGCACGAGGCAGATGGGCAACAGCCTCTCTTGGCATGTTGAACCCTGAGCTGCCCTCTCCAACCGCTGAAACCTGCAGAATCAGCAGGAGTCACAGCGGGACCTTTGGTCCTCACTCGGTAAATTGAACACCAGGGACTGCAGGCTCCTTCACGGGTGTCTGCTCCATGCACCAGGTGAGTACGCGAATAATCTCGAGGGCCTGCAGAGCTCACCACATCTGCGCCTCGAGGGAAAGCCAGGCTGTGGGCTCGGGTTTCTGCGGGTTCCTCTTTGAACTTCCATAGTAGGAATCGGAAAATAATGGATTTATAATTTTTCCCTGACTTAATGCCTAATGAAAGCCTCTCTCTGCTTCTCCCCAGCCTAGCTCTGTGCTGAGCAAGGAAGTGGAGGTGGCCCGGGGCTAGTGTCCAGAGCATGAGCCTGGAGCCGGCACCGCGCGGCATCGCTCCCCCGCAGCGCAGCTTTCGCAGCCCTGCCGCGAGCAGCACGCTCTTCATCGTTGTCTGCTGCAAGCTCGACTTGCTCAGCGGTGAAGAGAGCCTCGAACCTCTGTCTGATTTTGGTGTTGTTTCACTTGAGGGGAGGCCAGATGTTTATCTTCCCCCTAATAATTTTTTGAGCCATCCATCCATTTATTTATCTTTTTCATGCTTAATGATTTGCAAAAGCATAAAGAGCCTGTGGTTTGGAAACCATGCTACAATCTGAGGAGTGCAGAGACGGAGTCTGAACTACTTTCTAACATGAATAAATAAACAGCATGGAAAGGCTCCATTGTGTATATTCCAGGTTGCTATTTTCTTAACCCTATCTCATTAAGATGGATGGAGTTTCTGCTTATTAGTAATTTGGCAAGTTCCTCTTTGTGTGTACTCTGCACTTCTCACTAATGATGCTTTGCTTCAGTGATTAACAAAAGAGACTTCCAACATAGTCAGTGAAAACACAGCCACGCACTTGGGGCGCTCGGCGGAAACCCAGCATTCTGGGGATGCGGTTTGCTGAAGACAAGGACCTGCAGGGAACCCAGAAAAGGAAAAGCTGCTGATCATAAAACCTTTTCTGACATTCAAATAATATTGACCTAAGGACATTGGTTCTTTGATTTACATGCACAATTGCAGAACTGACAGAGCCTAAAACAAAGTGATTCAAAGCCCTTATGCTGCTGTTCCTAAAATGTGTCCGATGGAGATGAAGTTGGCACTGCTACTGCCTGGATTTACAGCTGGCCATTAAAGTATGTTTACAAGCCTTTAGTACAGTGTACACATCTGGTAAATCATTGATTGAACAAATAGCTCCTGGTATCATGCTCCCTCTGTCAACTTTTTCCACTACTATGTTACCCAGTGCAGAGTCGTCTGTTCCGGTCCCTGTTTTCCGCAGCGGCTGTCGAATCCTGCAGGCAGGCATGTGCAGGCGCCCGCGCGAGCGGCGACGCGCAGACCCAGGAGGTCTGCACGGGTAACCCGGGGTGTCGCTGCAGTCGAGACCTCGCTGGACGCAAACCTGCCGGACACAAAAACCCGTGCAGGTCCGCGGCATGCCCAGCTGGTACGCCCTTCCCCAGGGCGGGGAAGCAGCATC